TCCATTTCAGCAAGGGGGGAAAGTGTAAGACTATGAATTAGATTTGATGCTCATCTTTAGCCTTTTTATTTCTCCCTGTGAGTCCAGGGAATTATATATGAACCCTAGCTAATTGTCCACAGGTTAAAGAAATCAATTATTGAGCACTGATGAGTAGAGAACCACAGTGCAGCCTGTTTCAGAATCTACACTCTATTCTAATCTCCCTTTGGGTCAGGAGAGGGCAAAGCAACGGCAGGAATTTAAATTCTTCTTCCACAAGAGAAAACAATGCCCAGGAACCAAATTGTTCTTCCAAAATAATGGGATCTCTCTCTGTCTTGTTAGATTCCGCTATGGATTTTACTTCTATTGGAGAAGCTGCAGAGCTCCCTGCAGCCTATAACTTGCTGTACTTCCATTCCCATTACATTTACAGTTCAAAACTCTAAGTGGGTTGACAGGTTTCTAATTAAGTTGACAATTTGGGCAGCCAGAGTAAATGCTTCAGATACCAGCTGAAATAGGGTTTAGCTCCATGATCTGCTGTGGTGGTTTGCAATTATCCAGTTGGCTCAGATGTCACCAAATCCCCACTTCATGGTTATTAGACAACACCTGGAACCACTGCTCTAAGTATTAGTCTCAAGAGACCTAAGCCGGCCCTTGTATGAGTGAGTTCAGTTACGTACACATACTGCCCACTCACAAGCCCTTCTATCGCCAAAAATCCAGCTGCAGGAGAAAGAGACAGACGTAAATCACATTTGAAACAGTGAGATTATCAGAGAAGGAATTAGGCAGCATTTTGGAGGGTGTCTAAAGTCCTGTCATATGATGTAGAAGAAGCAGAGATATCTCTGGAGCCAGGGAGAACTGGTCATTCCTACTTACTCCTCTGCTTTACTGGGAGCTTAGAGCAGTCATCTGATTAATTTGTCATCTATAAATACAGAGAGAACATGGTAGGAAGTATCTGGTGACTGGGTCTAGTTCTCAAGAAATCCTATAAGGTTTTTCACTAATAGCTCTGCAGTGACAGCCAGCCTGCCTGTGAGCCCACCTCCCTGCTCTGTGCTGCCTGGCAACATCACCCACAGAATGGCCCCAGCCCGGGTGGAGAGGCTGGAGTGGCCCCAGCTTGGCGATGGAGGCAAGCATGGTGTAGGCCTTAGCAAAATCCTGGTTGTCAGGCATTTAGGGTCATGAAAAATTAATTTCTGTTTCCAGAAATATTCCTGCAATAAGCAGTGAGCAGGCCATAGGAACTCTTCTGTGTATTTTTCCCTGCAGTCTGTATTCACCACAGCTGAATAAGTGGTCCTTGTTCCACAAGTTTGTTTTCAGGCAGAACACTCAAGACAGAAGAAAAGACACACAACTCTAGCGAAAACTGAATCAGACCATCTAAGTCACAGGCTAACCTGTCCCTTCAAAACTCTCTTCAGTGCCACCGTTGGTCCTGCAAACTCCACACCAAGAACCATGCTTCTAAGGATCAATGGGGAGCTCTAATATACATATCAAATATAGCAAGGGGGCTAGGAATTATTTTAACCTCATATAAATAATTTTATTTGTAACCTCATATAAGTAATTTTAACCTCATGATCAACGCATGCAAAGGCAGGCAACACTACTATCTAAAATGTTATGATTGTATACAATGAGATTTAATTATCTAAAATTATTTGAAAATGAATTGGTATATAGAAACATTGATTTTTGAGACCCCTTTTGAATCCAAAATTCTGTATTTTAGGCCTCCTTAGTCTGTCTATCTTGTATGGCTGGGAGAATTAAAAATCAAGTACGAATTCTGCATAGATAATATTCAAAATTTCTTTGTTGGATCCATTCAAGAAAGTAGAGAAGAAAGTAGGTCCAAAGAGTCTTTGCAGTTAGCACCTGTGATGGTCAAGTGATTGTGTCAATTGGGAAGGTTAGTTAAGAAAAGCCTAACTGAATCACCTCAGCAATTCTATCCCTAGGTATAGAAAACCCACCCTGAGACAGCTGGATGGTGTAAAGGGGAAATAAGGAAGGATGGAACTTTTTCTGGTCTGCAGAGGAGCTCCAGCTTTTGCTGTTGGCTTGGACATCATCTGGCTTCCTCCCACTGCAGATTCTTCTGCCTTCCATTGTAGACCTATCAGCCTCCTGACACGGATGTGCACGGGACACTGCAGTGAACTCCAGACCTTGGATCGAATCCTTCTATCTCCAGTGTGCAGACACCCTCTGCATGCTTCAACATCTGACTCTGTGGGGGTCCATTGTGAGCTGATCTTGTAAATTGTTATACATTTGTGTATCTTGTGTTATATCCATTTCTCAGGCAAAACACTGACTGATATACTATCCCTGCTGTAGCAGTCTGCAAAGGTTTATGAATTCTGGGTTTCACTAGAATTATCTGTGCTTTCTCTCCCCTTCCCATCTTTCCCACCCTCTCTGTACCAGTTTCTCAATTCCATGACAAACAGAATGATCATTCCTGAAAGAAGTTTGAATGTTAAACTTTTGAATGCAATGTTGCAGTTTTAAAGAAGGCAAAGACAAATCTTTTTCTCATGTTAGAGGAGGGATTTGGCCCAGGAATTTGTTACAAGTCAAAGCACAACTTTCAGTTGCCGCTTGCAAAAATTCTTGGGATGATAAATCATCAAGAAAACACCTCTCATGGGCAAAGCTTCTGAGATTTAACCCAAGTGGCCCTAAACACACCAATTTCTAACCCAAATATTAGCTGCAGCTTCTTGTTGTTCCAGCAAGACCTCGCACCTAGTTGTGATGTTGCTGGTTTGCTCTGGGGTATCAATAACTATCTCATCCCTGCCCCTTTCTACCTATGTCTGTTTTCCATGGACCTTCCTTGGGCCAACTTGACTTCAGCGGTGTACATTTTCGGAGATACAGTAGCTTCTTGGGCTTCATTTCTATCTTGCGCTTGCTTAATGATTGTCACAAAAAACAGAATAAATATTGCTTGAAATCAAGGGGAAGCTGGTGCTGAAGGGTATCAAGAAGGACAGCGGGCTAACACTGGGTGCTGAACAAAGCACTGCTCTTGCACTTCAGGCTAGAAATATGTCAGAATGCCAGAACTCTCCTCAAAACACAGAAATTCATTTCCATTGGATTGTTATTTTATTAAAATCAGACTAAATGAGCCTGTCAGAAATGCAACACCCTCCTAGTAATTAGATCTGCCATCTGCACCGTGAGCCCTAGCAGCGGGCTGTCATTATTAAGCATAAGACTATGAAGAACCCAACATATCCCTATATTCTATGGATACTATTGAAAGATATGTTTTTCATTTCAGCTGCCAGCTACTTAAGCAAGCAAAAATGATATTATGAAAACAAGGTCCAAAACAAATAAAAATTGCTGCTTTGGCTTCCTTGAACTGTCATTGCTCTTCATGCATAGAGCACTGGTATTCTCGTGTCTTTCGCCTGGTATTTTATTATCACATAGATGCTCCCTGGTACAGTCCCTGGTAGTGAGCACCCATCCTCACATAGCTAAGCATTCCGACTGTGAGCTGCCCCAGGGAACTTCCCTATGCATCTGTGCTCTTCTGAGATCCAGATGAGGTGTTGGTTTGCAGCCCTCAGGCTCATGTACCTGTGGAATCTGAGGTGCTCCCCAGGGCCGGCTTCAGGCTGAGTGTGAAGTAGTGAATTGTGTTTTTGGTCTTCTGTGCCTTTATGTTTCTATTCCTCCCCTTTCTTCCACACTCAGTATTCTGGGCTTCTTAACTCTGTCAAAATTTGCTCAGTCGTGAGTTCGATCCCTGGTACCGATAAAAACGAAAAAGACAAAAAAAAAAAAAAAAAAAAAAAAAAACTTGCTCAGGCATAAAAGTGTCCTTGAAATATTTTTAAATGGTAGCATGAAATTCCAGATGTCACCTTTTCCAGGGTGATTTGTGTGTTAATTACAACATTAATTATGGAGTGAAATGGTCTGGCCTTTTTGAACAGCGGGCATCATCACTGGGTGAGTGAGGAAGAAGACTCTGAAAAGAGACCAAAGGCAGACTCCTTAGCACACTGGAACTCCCTGGACCATTGTAGGAGTTCACATAAGCCCTCGTGCACACACACACACATACACACGCACACACACACACACACATAAACACACACACGTACATGGGGAGAGAAAGAATTAACCTGTACTACCTCTCCAGCACTGGGAAGGAAGCACAGTCATAATCATCTGTATGTTTTCCACTAAATTGCACCCAAATGTAAGATTCAACAATGGCCAAATGGTGAAATTTAAATTTTCAAAAAAGTCATACACTTATCAATATCCAGTCCATCATAAAACCCTCAGTCAGCCCTACTTTTTTTCCTCTGTGAAGTCTAATACTTTGTGTTGATCTCGCTTTGCACTGCAAGTCTTCGTGTATTTTCTGGGCTGTACCCACAACTATATATGGGAGAAATCAAATGGGAAAATGTTGTTAAATGTGGATCTGTGCTTAGAAACCCCACAGGGAGAGCCAGACTTATTTTAACCCCTGAAGTCTTTATTCCTTTTGATTCTCCATTTCTGGGGAGACATTTCTTTTACCATTCCCCTATCATGTGGCTGGGTTTCTGTGAGGTGCTTCTCTTTGGTTACTGACACCCACAGGGCTGTATGAGGGGAGGGAAGAAACATCTCACATCAGAAGTGTGGGGTTTTCTGGATGTAATAATCTTTTTCCTAGAAATATTCCTTAGTATTTGAGTGCCTCATTTTCACATTTCCAAACATTTTCCCTATTATTACTACCAGCATTTTGTCCTTAACTTGTTTTTTTTTTTTAATTCTAATAGGCAAAATAATACAGATCCTTTCCTGAATACTACTGCGCTCTTCACTTCCTGTGGAAATGAGTGTTCTCACATATGGACTTCAGGCACCCAGGCAGGAGAGGCTGGTGTTGATACTTTTCAGTGTTTGACTTCCCTTTTGTGTTTATCATCTATGTGTACGCCAACAAGGAAAGGCCACAAACATAACTTTACATTGTTTATTATTATGGTATTAAGCAAAGGGTGTTTTAAAACAATTGTTGAATTCCATTAGCCAAGCATGCCAAGCAGCTTGAAAATTACGTTTTCTTTTATGCAGCAACTAGAGGTAGCTTCATTTTTCATACGCCAGACATTGTCCTTGAACTAAGTAAACACAGGCAAGCAGAAGAAATGTCCCAGCTTCTATAGACTTGACTGTAGTTGGGGAGACAGTTATGCATGTGTGACTACAGATGAATACAGATCTGCAAAACAAAGGGGAAGCAACAACATTCTATGAGAGTTCCAATACCGGAACTTGTAGAAGAATGAGAATTCAGGAAAGTAAGGGGGAGGGTTCAGAGAAAGGGATCTATCTGTTGACGTCGAATGAAGAATAAGGATCATAAAAGAAGCAGGATAAAGAGCCTTCTAGACTGAGCAGAAGGACCAAAGGCTGGCACCCAAGAAAAGTGAGAGGTGAGGACTGGAAGGAAGGCAGTGCGGCTTGGTGTCATAGACAGAGGAAGACAGTGATGACCAAAGGGGCCAGGGAGATGCTCAGAGATAAAGTGATGTCATGTTTACTTGTAACACTGGTGATTTCACTGTGCATAGTTGAGAAACTACTTCAATATAAAAGTGGGAAGATAAATCAAGTCAAGTTGGAGCTTACTAAACCATTACTTTCTTGGAAATAACACAGTGGTATGTCTGTCATTGGTGATAGATCCTATGTGGAGAGCCACTGAAGTGTGCAGATGGGTTGTACTGAGCGCCATGGTGAATAGCATGCATGTGCCCTCCCCGTGCACATGCGATAGCTCTAAGTTACCATGCGAAGCTTTCTGAGGGTGAGACCTGTGGAGCAATTCTTCTCCCTATCCATGCTCAGACCTCAAGGTCAGCACTTGGAGCGTTGGTGGCTGCCTAGAAACCAGGAGAAGATGAACTCTCTAACCACCTTGCTGACACCTTGATCTTAGACTGCCCATTCAAGAATAATGGGAAAATAAATTTCTGCTGTTTAAACCACTACTCAGTCTATGGTATTTCTACAAGGCAGCCTTGCCAGATTAAGGCACAAGCTCTATGTGGGTTAATAAACAAATATTATCTTGGGTATAAGCCATATGACAGAAACTTTGGTGTGAAATCAATTTCTTCAAGGATGTATAAATCTAAGATACTGAAAATCTAAATCTCAGACACTAAAATCTAAGTTATTAAACACTAATTCACATATACAAATCTTCTCCCTGTCCTTTCTGTCAGGGAGGAAGGTAAGGTCACATTGAAAATATTGTGATAACTCATTCATGGAGATAAGAGACAGCAATATGGAATTTAGTTGAAGAGCCTATTTACAATTAACATTTGACTTTTCAAAAGTCACTTTCCCTCTTCATTTATACAGCTATGGTCATGATTTGCACTTAAGTAGTTCCTGAGTGGAGATTAACAACTATTAGATATCTGAAGTTTTTAAGTAGTTACCTACAGAAGATAATACATATAAACTTAACCTTTGGTGGTGTTTTCTTTTAAAATTAAGTTAAAATTATGGTTTGATTCTATATGAGAAGGAATAAATCATGCATTTGGGTATAAGAAATCAGGACACTCTTAGAAATTACCTTTGTCAACTTATTCATGGACATTTAAGCTCTTTTTTGTGACTAATAATGCAGTCCACCCACGCAAATTCTGCCCTACAGACACACATTACACTTTAGCAATAACCAGCTAATAGGTACATTACAGTCATGCAATATCTCCTGTAAATTCTCTGTTCTTTTAGGAACTCTATTATAAATCTGAATATATTATCACTTATGAAGACCCAATAATACTTCTGTAGAGATACAGCTATTTTACTCTGCGGTTGTACAAGGCAACCAGAAATTATTCAAATTCAAATGTTTGGATTGGCAAGCATAAAGTGCATCTCAGAAATATCTGGCAATTTATTTATACTGAATAGCTTTGATATGGCCATCTCTGGATCAAATTTTTGGTTTGGTCTTTTGTGTAGACAAGGTTTCACGATAAGGCTGGCCTTGAAGTTGGTTTGTAGCTCAGGCTGGCCTCAAACTCTCATAGATCCTCCTGACTCAGCCTCCTGAATGCTGGGATTACAGGCGTCGGTCCCACCATGCCTGGCCTAAGGCTTATTGTTAAAGTTCATGATATTAATTTAAAAGCCAATACTTTCACCTTTTAAAGCTTACTTTTAAACTACATATATTTATTACCAAATCCTCAGTTGTGGATGGAGGTGTAGATAACCAGAGCACTTTGAGCTATATATTGTACAGACTTCAGGAGAACAATACCAGGTATTGATTAGTACCAAGATTAAAGACCAATTATACACATCATAATTAAAAATGAACTAGTAAATGAACAAAACACCTAGTAAGTATTTTTGACCAAAGTATCACTGATTAAGATGTGTCTAATCCTGCTGATATACACTTTATTGCAAAGTAGAGTCATGACAATTGAGTTGCCTTTTACCGTAAAGTATTTTAGCTGGTTTCATCTTGATTACCCCTTCTTGTTTTTTGTTGTTGGAAGCCATACATTTTATTAATACACTCACACTGTTGACTCAAGATTGGCCTTATAACCTAATTTGCCCAATTAAATAACAGTGGGAAACTTCTAAGAAATCATAGAAGCAGGATATGGCTTGCTCTGTTCTCTTTTCTCTCTATTGTAAGATTTACAAAATGTTACAAATAGACAGTTTCCAAAACCTTGGGTCTAGAGTGAAAGAAACACAGGACAAAGCCCCATACATTCACCAGTGATGTATAGTGTGTGTCAGCTTCCCTGTCACTGAGGAAAACACAAAAGCTGACCTCTATACCTTAAAAGATGAAGGAGGTTAGTGGTTTCTGGCAATTTAGTCCATGCCCAGAAGACTCCAAATCGGGAACATCATGGCCAAAGGGTCTCGGGGAGTAGAGCGGCTTAGCTCACATTGCTGGGAAGTAAAGGGAAACATGCACTGAAGAAGCGAGGAAGAACCAGATACTGTGCCCGAGGCCACGACTCCATTATGCACCCAGATACGCCCAGACTCTGCTCCAGTCATCCTCCACTAGGTGGTTCCCAAGCAAGGCAAGTTGACACCACTCAGGTTATCCACCATATATAATGTGAATGAGAAAATTGCTGAGATATTGGGAACACTAGCTACTATAACATCAATAAAATATGAAGCATGTTCAAAATATATGATGAATGCTTAAATTTTTAAAAATTACCGTAAATGACACATTGCTATGAATCTCCCTTCAAACACCCTTCCCCATGCTTCCGATGCACTAATCCATCCTTCGTGCCACTTCTGAAGCCGTTCTGGCAGTCCTCTCGTGATGATGTTTACAAGGTGTGATCAAAACTGTGGGGAATACCACTGCTCAGTGCCATCTAACTGAAATGTGGGCTCACAAAACATTCATACAGCGAGCTCCTGTGCCTTATTTACCCTTCCCTACATTGTATGACTTCACAATGTCAAAACGACCATGAAACAAACATTCTGACCACATCCGGAAGAGTAAAGCCAGCAACAAAACAGGACTTGCATAACTGCTTCAGAAAATGGCAAGAGGAGTGGGATGAGCTTGTTAGCAGTGAAGGGGCGCAAGCTGGGGGAGATTATAGGGGATGTGCCTTTTACTGTAACACATTTTAAAAATCTGTACCCACAGCATATTGTCCCATCACACTTCATATATCGACAGGTATATGCATGATAAACACTCTATGGTTTAATTTACCAAGATAGGGTGTAGAACTTAAAACCTACTGAGCATGGATTTACATTCTGACTGTGTCTTTTCCTTATCTGCTCTTTATTCTCCATTCATTGCAAGGGAGGAGGTAATAGTAATACTGTAACTATTAATATAATTCAGAAATTCATGCGAAGGACAATTGAGACAATGTGTGTAAATACCAAAAAGTACTATGGTAAGTCAACATTTTACATAAATCTTATTATTAATTATTATAGTAACTTAATTCATTACTTCAGAAGTAACCATGTGATTCCTTTCTAAGGACAAGACATGGTATTTTTCTTCATGACTGTAGTGATGGGATTTTATTCACATATTTGTACATGGTGATGCATACTTGCACTTCGATTTCCTAATATAGCTTGGGATATTATGCTATTTTTTATACATGGGGAGAAATTTAATTGAAGAGTTTGATGGCACTGACAAACTGGAGATTAATGATGCAATCACCATATTCTAGATCCGCAGGTCTCAAACTTTGTTGACAAAAACTGCTTCAACTCAAAACTTACTAAGGACTGTAATTCATTTTTGTTACATGGGTGAATTCTATTGTATAATAACTGTATTTTCTAAAACAGAAGCCAGTTGATCATAAATGTGGCATTATTTTAAGTTGTATCTATTTTTTAATCAGATTTAACCCAAAAATATCCAAGTATTCATATTGCTTCTGCATTCTACCTGGTGCCATGTTTTCCTTTTGCTGAAGTATATAAAAGAAACATGGCTTCCCACAGCCTTTCAGTTTTAAAAGAAAAATGTGATTTAATGGTATTTCTAATCATTGTGGACATTCTTTTCTGATATTACACCAAAGCCTGGCATAAGGTAATATCTTAAAGTTCAGTTGCAATATAAAATCTGAAATTTGATCATTATACTTCGTATACTGTCTTATATCAAAATCTATGGGATAAATCATTGAATAAATATACTGGCTATCTATGATTGATTTTGTAACATCACCCATTGGTTACTTCTAAAATATCAGTTCATTGAGTCTGATGGATTTTCAAACACTGACATTTCATTCTGCAAGGTCAAAAAACATATTTATTATTCTCTTCACCAATATTTTCAGAGATCTCATTGTATTTGGCGTTGCTCTCAGGTTCACAGTGAATCCAGTTTTCTGATTTCATTTTTCACTTGGAAATCATTTTATCATTTGCAGCAAATACGGTGAGTTGCTTTCTTGAACTGACAGGTCCACTTTGCTCACTTTGTTCATTTTTTGACAGAATATATGTGAAATGCTTGAGTCTGTGTAACCATAACATTTTCAGTTGTTCTTTCAAATAAAATTGTGAACCACAAAAGAAGATGCATACGTGATTCTTCTGGAGATCGCCACCATATTTCTACTTGTGGCAGGAGAATTTTATGCATATTGCTTCTCAGTTACACAGGTTATTAAAAAGATGTGTACTCAGTGGTAAAGCCTGAGAAGCAAAATGCACTTGTTTTCCATGACTTTAACTAACCCTGGAGCAGGCTTTTGTTTAAAAAAAAAACCAAAAAAACAAAAAAAAAAACTCTGGGTCTCACTGTGGAGCAATACAATGAGGACAGGCACAGTGGGGCATCAGGGTCTGGGTCACCTTAGACACTGCAGACTTATCTACAATTGCTCTTACAGCATCCGTGCAGAAGTCAACACAATGAAAAATGTAATCAAGCTGCACTGTAGGATTGTTACAGAAATAGCTTTTGCTCTCAGATAACCTGAACTGATCTTACGGACTGGAAGCGCCATAAACAACACTCTGAGAAATCACAGTCTAGAACAAGAGATCCCACTTTGGTTTTTGTTTTTGAAAAAATGGACTCTTTCAATAACTACCATGACAATAGGAGCCATCTATGCAGATGGCTAGTGTGCAGGGTCCATGCTGAGTATCATACACACATTTTCAATTAGCCATGTAATGAGGAGTATGATACCCATTCCATCATGAGGAAACTGATACCCACAAAAGACAAAGTAGCAACCTAAGATCATCTAGCTCATAATTTGTGAGGTTGAGAACAGAACCCAGATGTATGTAACACAAAACCTTAGCCACCCTTAACCACAGAGTGATCTCACTTGTGATGGAAGTGTATATTTGAACATAAATTTGAGGTGATTAAGGGACTGTGAGAAGCCATTTTATAGGAACAATCTTTGTTCTGGAGTTCAGATCACTTACAGATAATCGAAGTGATTTTTTTTCCTCCCTCAGGCAGTTTATTATGGAAAAGCTTTTTATGTTTATGTTGTAACAATTCCTGATTTTGTCCTGTCATGTGATTCCTATTTCTGTATCAGTTTCCACTGTGAAAATTTAGACTAATCCAAGTGAGGCTTATTTAGAATTTTTGATGGAAAGCATTGGAAATGTTCTTTCAAAAAAAATCTAGATCCTTTTCTGTAACGGAGGCATTTCAGTGGCTCCACATTGCTAACTGAGGACTTTTATATCACTCTGGATTAATCAGACGTAAATTTCCCTTTTCAGAATTCCCTTATTTTCTTTCAGATGTTAATTCCATGGGACTGAGACTTTCTTCATCCCTATGTTGCCTCCCATGTAATCTCAACCTTTTTCTTCCAGATAACCCAGGCCTGATGACAAGGGGAGATCTCCTTGACTTTACCCAGCTGAGGGCTGATAAATCATGAAGTCTGTTTGCAAGTTGATTCTTCTCTTTCAGATAACAGGGCCTGGGACCAGTGCGAGCTCTGCTCCAAAAGTGTGAATCAAGTATGCAGTGGACCTGACATGTAGACTGAGAGTGTGTAACCGGGTCACTAGCACAGGATGCATGAGCTGTGTCGAGCCTGCGATTTCCTTTGGGCACAGATCACACCTCTGCAAGGCTACTGTTCCACCCATGCCTGGATTTGCTCTTGCTACTGAAGACTCAAGACACTAAACACCATTACACATCTTAAGCATTCACACTTTCTGTCAGGCATGAGCTGGGAAGTCATGGCAGACAGGGTAGGAGGTTCCTACCCTGGAGAAGCCCAGTGCTCAAGGCTGCAGCCATGCAGTAATTGTAGAATTAGACACATGCTCATTGTCTACAAGCAAACATTTCAGTGTAGTTCATCTGACCTACACAAAGAAGGAAATGGAGCCTCCTCATTTTCTCCTCCTTTTCTGTCAGACAGCCCCCTGTGCCCACCCTCATCTGGGAAGATCCCTCTCCAGCACCTGTAGTTCTACCCCTTCCCCACACCACTTAGACCAGTTTCTTGCTTTGTACCTCTTTATAGTTCTTACCATCACTATGCATTTTGCATATTGGCCATTTCCCTTATTTGAATATACATTGAATGAGGAATAAAGTCACGTCTCTTTCTTTCACCAACAATCACTGGGGCACCTAAAACAAGTGCCTGGGGTACAACGAGTGCTCAGCAGTTACTACTAAAGGGAAGTGGTAAATACTGATTGTAGGAAATCATTGAATTCACAAATTGTGCAAACAGTTTTTATCTACAAATGTGGTAACAAGATGATTTTCTGTGGGAAGGAGTCTTTGTTCTCAATAAATGGATTATCATTGCTTTTTGGGGTCATTTTCCAAAACCCCTTAAGAAAGCATTTATCATTTAGTGTTCTCTTCTCCATCTGTGGTGCTCTTTCCACAGCTAAAAGAATAGGAAACACTGTATATTTGCCTTTGGATGTGAGTTTTTTATGCTGTGTCTGGAAGCTTGAAAGAAGGTAGAACTTATCTCTGCATTTGTGAAATTTTTATATAGGCTTTCGAATCATAAGAATTTTTCCTCAAGAGGTTTAGATCATCCACAGTCAGTTTTTACTCCAAGAAGCAGTTAGATTTACAAGGGCTGGGAACAAATAATTCTAGCACAGGTTGGACTGCAGCCAGTAGATTTAGAGCTTGGCCTTGCCATCATCTGTCTGTGGCTACTACAATTCAAGAGTTAAATTCACAGCCATGCTCTAATTTCCCTTTTTTTCTCATTTGCTCAGTATTTTAAAAATATAAGTAGGTTTGTTACATTTTGAAAGAAAACTCTGCCCTACCTGTATTTTTAGAACTTATCTTTCACCCTAAAAAATTTCAGATTTGTCCAAAATATGGTACTGAAAACCTTTCTGTAAGAATGGGAGTGCTGTGCACATACATATCCTGCCAGGAAAGGAGAATAAACAAATGTTTAGTATAAGCCCTCTTTTCTAACTGGAGATATAAGTACAGGGTTAATTAGAAGACAGAAAAATGCATATTATCAGTCTCTACTAATTATCAAAATGGCCATAGAGAGCTAAGGAACCTGTGAAGAATCTAGGTTAATTTTCTATTATGCTTCATTATCATTATGAATTTTTTACTTGATAACTAACAAGGAAAAAAAAAACCCTCCTGAAGCAATTCCATAGTGTAATACTTCATGTAAAATAAGCTACCAAGCATAAGGTATACGGCTGCGGGTGGGAAATGCTAAATTTAAATGAAGTTATCCTCAGAAGAAAAAGTAATAAGCAGAGAAATGAAGACTCTATTGATTTGGGGGATTTGCTTTTCTGCTAAGACTTCCAGCAGCCAGAGCCAGGGACACCAGCCCAGCCAGGGGTGAGGCAGCCAGCACAGAGACAGTGTAAATGGAAGAGCTCCACCCCGCACACTGTGGCCACTCCT